GAACGATTTCTGCAAAGCGCTCTGAGTTACAGCGTTACCCCAGACCAAACAGACGTTCCAGAGCTGTTAGCGGTGAAGGGGGACAGGGAAAGAGGGGCAAGGGAAGGGAGAGAGCAAGGGGGAAGGAGCAGCAGGCAGCTGCCAGTTGGGCTGGATGGAATGGAGCCCACTCACCTTGCTGTCCCCCCAGCTACCACACCTGGTATATTGGGGGGAGCTGGGCTGGGCCCACAAGGTAAGAGGGGCTTTCTTCCACCCCCCACCCAGACCTCTTTACAGTGGCAGCAGAAGCTGTTGGCTCAGCTTTACCATGGCCGGAGCTGGGAGGGGGAAATGAGGGAATGGAGCCCCCCTCTCCTTGTGGGCCCAGCCAGGCTCCTCCAAATACCCCAGCTGGGGTAGATGGGGAATAGCTGCAGTGCGAGGGGGCTCCTTTCCACCATGCCCCCCACCTCCAGCTCCAGCCAAGCAAACCTGAGACTTCAGCTCCTTGAGCTGCCTGCTGTTCTCTTCCCCTGTCTCCTCCACGGACAGCCCTGGGGATGCTGGGGCATCATCACCAGTGTGAGAATCAGCCCAGCCCTGCAAAGGCACTACAAATTAACCCTCGAGGGAACACAAATTCCCTAAGGCACTCTGTTCTATAGCACCTTCAGTTAATAGCTGATTTGATGAGGGTTAATTTTTTGTGTTTTCAGCCATTTTAAAAGCACCCTGCAACCATGCACATGTGTTATGTCACAGCTGTGGAGTACTTTCAGGGGCCCAATCATGCAAAAAAATGTAACTTGTGTAAGCACACATGATGTACTATTACTAGTGCATTAAGATTTCTTTTTAGCATGTAAGTATAGTGATATTATTCCACTTAACTTGCATTAGACATTATTCCCAAGAAATATAGTGTCTAAGTGAATACATTCCTAAACCTGTTCTACTTCAGAATGACCAATCTTTCTTAGTTAGTTGGCTAGTGAGACTTAAATCTTCATGGCTGATCTAAATTTGCATTGTTGCTATGTTCCAGTCACATGACAGATAAATAACAATAATCTTCTCTGCCCCAGGGAACTCACAATACTAAATAACAAAAGCTACCTGTTGAGCACTCTGCCCCCATCCAGCAAAGTCCTTCAGCATGGATTTAATTTTGAGCACATAGATAGCTTTTTGGAAGACTTGCACATATTTATCTAGTATGGAATAGAAGGACTTGGAGAAAGTAAATTGATATGGAAGGACTTATCACTCTTTCACAGAAGGAAAGCCATCAGAGAGTTATGAAAACTCTGAAGAAGGAATTAAAAAGCCAGTTAAAGAGGGTGTTGATGTTCAAGCTAGATCCCAGCTACAATCACATTGACCAGTAGTGCCAGGCCTTATGTTCTGCAACTGGTTGTGCAACAAGTGTTTTGGACTGTAAACTGAGCAATAGTGGAAACCTACCATGCCGTCTGGTCTCTGAAGCAACTAGTCTCCAGATAGTTTCAGAGGAGCAGTAGCTACTGACCACCTAAAACAGCAAAGGACCAGTTAAGACTAGGTGTTATTAGTCCACTAGTTCTATTCTCACAGTAGGACTTTTGAGAAATAAAAAATGTAAGGGGCTGTTGACAAGTATCATTTTTCAGAAGTTCCCTTCTGTTAATCTTAATGCAATGCCTTTATAGTTGTTTTGTTTTGTTTTCTGGTAATGATTTACAGGTTACCTGTCTTTGGTGCCAGAATTATGTTGAATGTTGGCACTACAGTTTGTTCCTTTGCCCACAAATCTCTGAACTGTCAATCCTTGCAAAGCAGCATTATGAGAAGCATCACCATAATCTAAGAAGGCTAGCTATGGGTCCCACTGGTACTTTTATGACAAAGGTCTTCTACTGCTAGTCATCCTGGACCCATCTCTATTGCCCTCAGATAGCAATCTGAGAGGAAAATTTAACTGGGATGAATAGGGTTGTGGAGTAGATTTGATTAGCTGCATTAATATGCACATCAATCTTTGAAGAGCCTCATTGTTTTGAATTCTTTCCAGTTCTGTGGTTGCCTCTACCCTTCTGGTTGAACTCTTTCGTAAAATTAATTCAGATCCAGAAACTGCCTCCACTTTCTCCACCTCTTTCTCCTCATGCATCTTATATGAAACAGAAAGATCAAGAGCCTAGTCATGATATCATCAGGCCCAAATGTGTGCCCTAACCATCAGTTTGAAACTATTCCACTTGTCTTCCAACCACCATCACAGACTGTTAGCCTATTCATTAGGGTGCTCTCCTGAGAGTTGAAAAATGGGACGCATCTACTTTCAGGAAAGAAGTCTGGGCAGTGAATCCTGAGTGCAGAGAGGCGTCTGCTTTCAGCCTTCAGTAAGCTGCAGAGAGGTGTGGGGTTTTTGCTGCTTTTCTCAGTATTTCACTGCTGAGAGTCAGTACCGTTCACCTTGCCCACACAATCACAGCACCACACAATTGCAGCTGCTATGCTTCTGGTTCAGGAGGTAGGCCACAAAGAGCAGAATAGCATGTTTGAAGGTATTGCCTGGCACACTAAGCATGCAGTGTACACATACCTGACAGAAAACAGGATTGATGGAGATCAGAAATATTTTTTTTATTCTTTCATTGTGTTATTTATTTTGGCATTTTAAGTTGATTGAGTTAACTTGAAATGTTTAGTGATATTAGCCCACACTCATCTGTATCTTCCCTCTTTGTTTCAAAAGATATGAGATCATGAATTTTAAGAAGATGGGGAAGGATTACTTTGACTATATCAATGTTGGAAGCTGGGACAATGGGGAACTGAAAATGGATGACGACGAAATATGGTCTGAGAAAAATATTATCATCAGATCGGTCTGCAGTGAACCATGTGAAAAAGGCCAGATAAAGGTAAAGTATTCTGTATTTGATTGTGTATAATTTGTATAGCCTTGAAATGTTGCCCAGAAGGTTAACATCAAAATGTAAGTTATATTCTTGAAGTCCTTTGGCACCTAAAAAACCCCTACAGAGTTATATATGTGCTTATTACCTTTATTGTAATGGTCACATTACTCTTTATTGCCTTCCGCTACTGCCAGTATCCCTCTGCTGAGTCCTTTTGTTCAATTTCGGTTGTAAAATCTCTGGGACAGAGTGAGTGCATCTACACAAGGGGCTAACAATGCAGTAGCCTAATAATACTGTGCAGTAGCACATCACAGCACAAACAGTGCCCATATACTACTGTGCAGTAGTATTAGGCTACTGTGCAGTAGCATCGTGTAAAAGTTGTTCGCCAGTGCTACTGAACAATAACTCTGGTCACTGCTCATTTATTTAGTACTGGAATATACAAGTACTAAACTAAATGCACAGTAACCACTGCACATTAATGAACATGTAGACATACCCAGTCTGTCTCTCTAGAACAGTGCTTTTTAACCTGAGGTTCGTGGACTCCTGGGGTCTGCATGCTATATCTAAGGGGTCAACAAAAGATGACTATGTTCAATTAAAAGTATGTGAATACCCATACTTACAATTCAAAGTGGTCCTCAACTCTATTTGAAATTTTTTAGGGATATACAAATGAAAAAAGACTGAAAACCACTGCTCTGGAAAAAGGAAGAGTTTAAACAGCACCTAGAACAAGGGGGTCCTAATCCCTGATTGTAATATGCTAAAATGTGGATTTAGGAGCCCAAATACAGGCACCCCAGCCTAACTTTTTAAGAGCCTGTAGTTTCTTGTTCAGATGTTCAATTCTTACCATGCTCCTTAATAGTCATATTTTGCTTTGCTTTGAGAACATCCTCTTCCTTTTTCCATTAGCAGCCTGCAGTTTACAGACTGTTATAATCTGTGAGTTAGGAGACTGAGATTCAGTGTGAATGAAAAGATTCAACCATGAATTCTGACACGTCCTCATGAACAGCAGAGGGGTTTAGACATGACTCTGCTCACAGTTGAAGTGATAAGCATCAGGAGTTAATCAGGACTTACTCACTGAAGTGCAAAGAGGTAACAGCAGCATGTGATCTGAATCAGGCCTGTAGTCTGCAGGTATAAGAATTTATGTTGATTAAGATTAATGATCTGATTTCAGAATAAGTAACATACATAGTGAAAGTATCCTGTTACTAGAGTGGAACCGAGGCCACAGATTTTGAGTCTGAATTGTGCCCAATTTTCAGGAGCATTTGGATTAAGGGACACTGTTTTGTAAGGGACATTACAAAGTTTTTTTCCAGCTCTGCTCTTGCCCTGGAACCGTAGTTCAGAAGCATATGAACAAAGCCAAATATAGGGCAGATCCTTTTAGTGATCTTCCCTCTTTTGTTCTGTATTTGATTGTAAATCCCACATGTTCTTGCACAGGCAGTAGCCCCTGCATGAAGATGGGACAGAGATCGTAGCTCCAATGAAGTTTTGTCACTGAATTCATTTAAACCAGGATGTCACCCAAGGCATGCTGTACACATGTGCTTTACTGTGGAGTTGACTATTTAACTCCTCAGTAAAGCATCACCATCTACACATGTGCTGGTGTTAGGGCAAAGTAAATTAATTAAGTCTGCTGTAAGATAGTATGGTGGGGACAATACTTAACTCCAGGGACAGTTACTTAACTCTGCTGAAATGCATGTGTAGATGGTGACAGGGACAGACTGGGGCATGAGGGTGCTAAAGTACAGGGTTAGCTGCAACCTAGTCCTGCACTGTAGCACCCTAAGCCCCAGCCAGCCCCTCCACCACCCAGAGCCTGGGGCTGACCCCCCAAATTCCCTGCCAGCCCAGGGCTCCTGCGCCCCAGCTCAAAGTGCTGCAGTCCTGGGCATACGTGTAGACGCTGCACCATGAAGCAACTGACGCTGGTGCAAACTGCACTAGAGTTTATCATGTCATCTAAATAGTATAGGGAAGCTGACAGCTCACAGGGTATCAGTGCCCCATTTTTCAGCATATTTCAACATTTCCCTTGCTGAAGGGCCTCATACAAATTAAATGTAGCCTTATCTGTATGCCTGAATTATTCTAGAGGCAAAAAGCTATTAAATAGAAGCTTGAAGAATCACAAGAGCAATGAGGAGAGTGGACTAAGGTGATAAAAACTGCAGGTGAAAATGAGGGTGTATTTTAGTTAAGTGGGGCTGGATCAGTTGGGTGGTTTCCTGGGCAAACCACTGCAGCTAACAACTGTTGTGTGTTAAAGAAAAAGGGAAAGAACAGAGTGGCAGCTGAATGGAGTGCTGCATAAACACAGCTGGTAATGGGACCTCCAGAGGTCGTCCTGGCTGGGGCCGGGTTGAAACATGGTCAAAGAAGCAGTTTTCTTTCAGTTTCATCCAAATTAAAACTTTGTTGAAACATGGCTGTTTGGGTGCTTTTTTTTTTAATGTTCAATGTTTTGACCTTGATGTTTTCACAGAAAGTTAATTAGGCAAAAACATTGGCATCTCTATTTTATGGTCTCGTTTTTTAAAATTTTTTATATAATGTACATTGTAATATTTCTGCATTGCAATGTTTCAGAATATCTATTCCATAAAAAAGTCATCATGTCAGCTTTGTATTTCAACTCAAAATGAAACCAAATTTAAAAATCTCGGATATACCCATGTCATAGATATGCCATTTCCACTCACAAACCTCACAACCAAAGAAAAATATCTGTGAATTTGCCTATATATTTGACTCTTCAGGTGATTTTTTTTTTTTCCTTCAAGTACCTAATGGAAAAAAATGCCTGTCTTTGGAAGCCTGAATAAATCTACTAAAGATTTATTTTCCAGATTTCTTCACTGCAGCATTATACAACAGCAGTATAATACTCTTGCTGATTATGTTCCTTTGCATTTTTTTAAAATTCCAATCCATGACATTTGGCTATGAAAAAAAAATTCTAAATTCATCCCTACAAAACCTATACAATCAGCCTACTTTCCCTGCTATAATTGGCAGTGTTTGTTTTTAGAAGGATTTCAAATGTAATGAGCAGAGACTGAGAATACTTTACTTCAGAAAGGAAAAGGCCTTCTCATCACCTTTGGCGTGGAACACAGATGTGTTCGGTGCCCAAGATAGATCCGGATTTTGAAAAGTTCATACCTGCTTATCAGGCTGCAGAAGTATGTAGTGTGGTGAAGCAGTAGTTCTGAAAACCAGTCCTGATGTTGCAGTGGAAACACTTTCTCACTGTTAAATGTTAATTAAAATGTATCTGATCTGAATCATTTTGGAAGAGGCATCAAATTTGATGTTCATAAACTGTAATTTGTCTCAAACTACTGAATACTGTACTACCATGGCCCAGTGTATCAAATCTTTAGGGAAGCAAAGCTCAGTCCTCATTTTTCCCTATCAGATATGGACCAGAGCTGGATGAATGATCTGTCATGAGTAATATCCCCCTTCTGCTTGAAAATTATTGAAGAGATTTTGATCTTTAGAAATTTGTTTGTAAGCTAAGCCATTTATCTTAACGTACATCAGCCTACGAGTCGGCTGCAAAGTATCCTGAATGCTCATTACTCTGAATGTCTCCTAGTCACAGTGCAAGTATTTGTTGCTACTGTTGTTATTTAGATTTATATCCCACTATCCCCAAAGGCTCAGAGCAGCTAATCATAATAGACAGACAACCCCAAGACCAGAAACAACAAGAAACCCCCGGATGACACCTTGAAATTTTAAGATTTCACCCCCACCCCACTTCTCTGCTCATGTTTCCTGGCAGTTTTACTGGGCAGCATCCACTGGCTCCTTGGACACATTCAAGGAGCAGTGAGTGGGTGCTGGCTGGTGTGCTCTGCTTGGTGTCCCCGCTTAAAGTCTTCATTATTAACCTATGACTGTCACTCCCATCCCT